GAGCACACACTCCTGGCACATAATACCTGGCTGGAGCCTCTCCAGCATACACTCACACGCTGATCTGCGTGGCTCCGTCTATAAATAAGGACTAAACGGGCTCTTTTTCCAGCACTCACTGCAAGTGTGGTTTGCATATAGTGACCCATATCATAGCTAATAGCTGGGTTGCAAATTTAATATTGCAAATGGAAAAGCATAATCATCATCTATCATCTGCTCTGTTTTAAAGCATTTATTTGAATTAATATTCCTCACTGTAAGCCAAAGGGGTATAGAATCTTCTCTCCCATCTTTTCCAAGTGCAAACAAAAACCGATTGCCAAAGCCAAGCTTTGCCTGTAAGAAAGAGCAAACCCTCTGTTTTAAGACTGTGGTGTTCCTTACAGAACCACTCTGGTTTTCTGGATGATGGCCACTACACGGCGTTCTGCAAGCACTCAGTCACCAAAACCTGGTACAGCTTTGATGATGCACAGATCACCGAGATCCCAAATTCCTCCGTGCAGACTGACAGAGCTTATCTCCTATTCTACGCCTGTCAAGGCCTTCTCTGGACCCATTAAAAATTTGCTAGCCATGGAAAATGAACAGTGAGTAGGCCAGCAATTAGAATTCATAGGCAGCATCAGCCAAGTCCTGTTTCATCAATAAACTAGAGCATCTGCATTACTGATCATCTGTTCTGGTCTTTCAGGAACTAATTTCTAGAGAGAAGTTACAGCTTCCAAGCGTATTAAGGAACATGCATCTGCTCCGTTTGTATAAGGTCTAATGGTTGTTCTCCGTGACAAACCTCCTACAGCCCTCAAAAAAACCAAATGCCGAGCACACAGCTGCACAGACCTGAAACTGCCTGCTCCTCTGCTGGTTAAATATATGATGTTGTTTAAGCTGCCTTTCAGAACTTGACAGTAGGATACAAAGGTGAAAGCAAATGACCAGATCACTGAGGGTATGTGTTTCAGAAGAGAGCAGGGGATGATGAAGTGACCATTAATATAACAGAAAGAAAAAGACATTATTCTAGTACTGGCATTTTTGTCCCTCTAGTGCTGCAAATTTGTTGGCAGCTTGTAAGCTTCTGGAAAACAATCAGTCCTGGTCTTAATCCCATCAGCAAGATGCACGCACATAGACAGATAAAAGCACAGAATGCAGGATTTACGATTTCTGAATGCCAACCCAATTGGAGAGGGAAAACTAACTCAAATCCAGAGCAGGGAAAGGCACAAGATGCAACCACAGAAGTTTCTAAGTGAATCATTTCTATACAAAGCAGTATTTTTTTCATCTGAAGAACCTTTAAACTGTGTGAATATGATTCAGACTGTCATTATGTAGAATCCTGACCATTACACAATGTTGAGAATGAAAACACCAAACCCAAACATACATTTAACAGGATATATTTTTAAATCATTTCTTCATTAAGGTTTTTAATGCATGTGTACATGAAAATTTATATTAAAAAATTAAAAAGGAAAGTCTTGTTTGTTTAGAATAATTCTGAAGTGCACAAATATTGACAAAAGCTAACAGAAAAAAAATACAGCTCTGCTTTTTTATTAAGTAGTGTTGCAATTACTTAGAGCTGGCAAATAAATGCAATCCTCTGAGTTTTAGAGATTCTCACAAAAAGGACAACATTTTATTATATACATAGTTCTGATGTGCAAGTATGCAATCAATATGTACACTTACATTCCTAACTGTTTACATCATTCTAGAGTATTCACAGTAGAATCAAGCTTAAGGTTAGAAATGTGAAAAGGCCGTAACAGTGAAAGAAAAAAAAAAAAAAAAATCAAGATATGCCTTGGGATTTTAAGACATTTTAAACTACTTGTTAATAGATTTCAGATGACTAAGCTAGAATTTAATTTTGGAGCAGACTAAAAATATAGTTGTTTTTGAAGTAAATGGTAATGCAAGTATGCTTTTTAAATGGTTTCACAGATGGCAGTATTACCACAAGCATTATTAATCAGTCTTCGGATTTTTAAGCACTAGTACTGACCAGAAAGAGCTTCTTTGCAGAAAAGCTGCTGCAATCATCCCCATATCTGTACGTGACTATGTTTGTCATAGTTTTGCATATTTCTATGCGTTCCCATACCTACTTTGCTCTTATAAAAAGAAAACCAGTTTTCTTAACCCACACTACTTTACGTGGCCACGTCCACTGCTCGCTGTTCATAAGAAGTGTAAAAGAGAATATACGCAGCTGAAGATTTCACAGATGATGCTGAGATCTCAGATACTTCATGGTCATCAAACTTAAACCAGCGTTGTTTTGAAGCATTTTTGCAGTAGGCTGTGTAGTGTCCTCCATCCAACCCGCCATAATGATTCTGTAAACATATGAAAAGAATTAATGGCCTTGGAAGCTGCCATTTCTTCCCTGATTAGGGAAATAAAGCAGAATGTGAGATTTTTACTAAACTCCAGTCATTCTTTTTAGAATACAACTTAATCTGCAACAGGTAGGCAGCCTGGAAATCTAGATGAAGCACGCAGGCTAAACCCAAGTCTTGGCATAAAGACCAGCTGAACTTTGAGATGTGACATGGTTACTTACTGATACTGAAAACAGATTGTATCTCTTCAAGTTATTCTTTGGACCAATAACATACTGTGAAAGGTCAAGAGTTTCCAATGGGAAATCTACAGAAGTTTGAAGCTTTTGTTTCCATCTTCCATCATAGGAAAATCTAGAGGATTAAAAAGCATCATTAAAAGTTACAGGTTGTTCACAAGAATACAAGAATTTAAGAATACTAAGTATGTTTGTTTTCCCAGTTTTAACCAGGACACGATCTCAACTAAAGCATTTGACCCCCAATTCTGTTAATGCTCGCACATGTGTTTCTTAGCACAAATGAAGAGACATTACTTGTAAAAAAGTGCTTTGTGAACTACAGCCTAATAAGAGAGGCATCAGATGAAAATTCTTTCACCATTACACCTGGAAATACATCCAGAACCCTAATTAAAAATGGTTAGCTATTGCACTGGAACAATCAATCCCCATCAAAGCCTGATCACTTCATCCTAATTGATTTTCACCAATCCCTGTTTCTCTTACCGTTTCAAATGCACAAGAAGAACAGGTGGTAATTTCCAAATTTCTATTTTTTTCAAAGAATCCCTTCGAGTTTTGCAATGGCTACAGTAAAACCTATTGTTATCAGTGAGCTTTTCCTCTTTGGAGAATAATCTAAGGCATTCCTAAAACAAAATACAAACACAGATTGTGAAGGGTAGCTGTTTATCAAAGCGTAGCAAAAAATGTTTGTTTCCTCTTTGGTTGTTAACCTGCATCAATTATTCGCATGCTATGTTTCACAAAAATTAACAAAAGTGAGTTAAATCCATGTGTGGAAGTAAATTTTACTGCATATCTTAATTAGCTGCAAGTCCTTCAAAATACACCTACAATATTTTGTTTAAAAACACAAAATATTTATACTGTGACCCACAAAAGCAAATACTATACATGTCTTCTGCTACTGCAGCCTCGATATTTCAATCCTGCGTGTATTTTAAAACATTAAAAAAAAAAATAGGTCATTTCCTTAAAACTTGAGAAGAATTAAAAAATAATGAAGACTCAGATCTGTTCATGTTTCAGGTTAGTACAAATTAAGCTGGAACATCAACCAACCGCTTCAACAAGAGGCTGAGCAGAAGCAACATCATATTGAAGTCACAGAGAAACATTTTTACTTCAAGAACCATTTCCCTATAGTGCCACCATACCTGCAGTGTACATTTACTAGTGGATGCAAGCGGTAATGACAAATACATGAAAGCCTCAAAGGTGCGGGACTTCTTGTGACATGTAAGACACTGCACTGTAGATTTGAACTGGCCTTGAAAGAGTGCCACAATAATGGATTCATTTAGCTGTTTGTGTTTGTGCCAGGCTAGTTCTGCTGCTCTGAAGTCATCAAGATGATCATTGTTTTCTTCCTTGTATCTTTTCCTGTTGTCAGCCTGGATAACAGAAGTTTAAATACCATAGCCATAGATTAACATATATAAAAATAGGAAGTCTCATCTGTCGGCAAGCATGCTATTGAATATTTGCAAAGAATATTTAAACGTGACAGTGTAGCCATCCATTTCTTATCTAGTTAGGCTTCTTCCATTACTCCTTTCAGTACCTTACACTGTTTCAAACTAAATTCCTACTTTAATTCTGAATACTCGCATTTCCTTCTATACAAGGTTCCAGTGACATAATTCTTATGAAATAAGAGGGTCTTTTTAAAATTTATTTCTCTTGATCATCTGACAGATGTAAAACTTCTTACAAGTGTATTGCTTACTTTATTTAGGTCTTCATGCAAGCCATCCATTAGAAAGAGAAGCAATTCTTGAGAGTCCTGCTGGCTATATCCTGCAAATTGGTCATTAATCTTCCCAATTGTAATTTTAAAGTCTTTTGGACTGATATATTTATACTGTCCTGTCCATAAAGCTTTCATTATCACACCAAACTCTTCAGCCACTTCACCTTTATGCCCCAGGAAATTTGATCTATACAATTAAACAGACAAAAAAAATAGTAAGCCTTTCAAATAACTTTTAAAAAAAATATTATTTTTATTAATTCAAGACATTATCCCAATTTCAAAGTAATTTCTTTAGACCAAAGAAAAACTGGCTGTTAGACCGAGTTAAAATTTTTGTCTACTTTGGCACTGTAATTTGGTTCCATATTCAAGACTGGGCTGATAGAAGGCACAGCTGTTTCCAGCTCGTTTTGTAAACTGCTATTTAAATACTCTGGTTTTAGAAGACTCTAGTACACTGATATTTATGAATGTGGTAACCACAATTTAGTTAAGACTGTCCAGTAAAACCTATTTTGTCACACGAATTTTGAAAATGTCAAGACACTTAGAAGTTAGCATTTGTCTCCTACAAAAAACACACACTAAGTGGTTTTTTTTTTAAATTAACAATTGTAAAGGCAGATGTTTTTCTTTCAATTATAAATTAAAGGATAAGAGTAAGAGATTGTTACCTGTTAATGTCATCTTGATACAAGTTTCTGTTAAAATAATCAGCCAGGTGAGGTGCATTGCACAGACACTGTAATATGGAATTCATATAGCAAGTGTTCCCTAGATTACGAAGTCCTGTGAGAGCTGGTCCCGATCCCCCAAACACAGGATTAAGATTCCGAATTTGTGATGCAGAGAGTCTTGAAATTTCTGCTTTAGTGTAACAGACTGGTCTGTAAGGAAGAAATTACGTTTTAGGAGTCTCAGACTTGACAAGGCTCCGCACGTAAGCCAGCAGAACCGCCCTCCCTCGCAAGGACTGAAATATTCTGGCACAGGATGTCTCCAAATGCCATTGCTTAAGGTATTCAAAGCCAGTCAATGCAGTAGTGAGAAATCCACGTACACTGGTCTATAATGAGGCTGAGTTATAGGCTGCATCAGTAGTTGTTGTTTTCTTTAAATTCACAGAGGAAGAATTAGCTGTTGCTTTAACCTAGTTTAAAAACTGAAAACTCCATGTATCACAGCCTGTCAGAAGACTGGCATTT